GGGGGCGGCGGGGCGGAAAAAGAGACTTGGAGACACCGACTCTCGTTCATGACACAAATATTTATGCATGCCCAGTCTCCGCTGGGCGCTGAGAATGCTCTGTTGAATCAGACTCGGCCCCAACATCCCTACTAGTCTCGATCCCCGCAGGCCTGGACCACCGGGTGGGAAGAGCTGAGGCTTTCAGCCAACCTCGCCTACCCAGAGCCCCGCCCCCTCGAGGGCTTTCACGGCTGTTCCGTAAAGTAGGGAAGTCTTTGCTCCAGAACAGCCCGCCTCCATTTTTACGGCAGGCCGCATTACACATTTCAAATATGGCGTCCCCCACTTAGGCAGCGCCGTGGTTTCTATCCTAGCTGGCCGGGGGCAGTGCTGAGCTAGGGCAGTTGTCTATTTCTGCCGGGCTTCAGAAAACAGTTAAAGTTCGTTTCTGGTCACAGCTCCAGGAATCCATCCTCCTCTGAGGGTCAGGAGTCGCCTCTTCCTTCTAGTCCCTGCAAGTTCCTCCTCTGTCCCTGGTTTGTTTCCCGCTCTACCTCCGGACATCCTGAAGCCCCTGACACTCCCAGACTCAAAATTATGGGCCTTTGGCAGCTGCTGATGCGCTTGCCCCACTGTCTCGGGGCCTCGGGTCCCCCGCGTCGCCTGTGGTGGTCCCCGTCCCTCGGCAACATCTCCTCGGTGGGCTCCTGGCGTGGTCAGCCTTCCAAGTGCCCGGCCTATTGGAACCAAGTAGTGTCAGAGGCGGAGAAGATCGTGGGCTATCCCACGTCCTTCATGAGCCTCCGTTGCCTGCTGAGCGACGAGCTCAGCAACATCGCTATGCAGGTGCGGAAGCTGGTGGGGACTCAGCACCCTCTGCTTACCACAGCCAGGTGAGCTACTCCCTCTCCCCCTGACACACTCACCCACTCGAGTCCTTTTTCCTGGCCGACACATCCTTTCTGCTTCACTCAAGCTGGCTCCCTGCTTCTCTCTTTCTACCCTTTCCTTTGCTCAGCCCTCCTAGACATTCGATGTTGTCTTTAGTCCACTCACCTTAATATTCTTCTTCTATTTGCTCAGCTGAGCGGATAAGTGATTTTCTTTTGAGAAACACACGTGCGCTTTTCGCGTTTTTTCTTAATTATTGAGGGTAAAAATGCCTCTGATTTGTGGAGAAATTGAGTAGGGATGAGGGTTTGAGTCACTTTGTAGAAATGGTCTTTTAAAAGTGGGATGGATTCACTTTTGGTTCTATTCAAGAGGTCACCTCTAGAAAGAAGCGGGGGCGGGATAGACTGAAGGTAGACAGTTCTTTTCAACCAATGTTCCAGGCTTGAAGTCGCAGTTTATCCAGTCTGTGGTCATTATTGTGTTAAGATTTTTATCACTTATGCTGAGACTGCTGTGAAACTTGACATTAGAATTTGAAGGACCACAACTTTTGCTTCCATTTAAAAAAAAAAAAAAACCCACCTTTTTGTTTGTAAATATTTTCAAGCATACTGAAAGTTGCAAAAATAAAAATAGTACAATGAACAGAATTGTATACACATATTATTTACATGTATATGTAAAATACATAGACATATATATTTTTTTCTGAATTATCTGAGGGTAGATTGTGTACATCGTAATCCTTTACTCCTAAATACTTCATTGTGTATTTCTTAAGCATAGGAATATTAACATAATTATATTAATCAACTTAGGCACATTTAATATTGGTACATACTTTTCTTTAACCTATCATGATATTCCAAATTTGTTAATTGACCCAGTAATGTCCTTTATAGCATTCTTTCCTCTTTGTTTACAGGATCCAGCCTAGGATCGGGTTTTGCAGTTAGTTGACATGTCCCTTCAGTCTTCCTCAATTGACAACATTTCCACAGTGTTTCTTTGCTTTTATGACTAGAGCAGTGGTTCTCAATTGGGGCAGTTTTGCTATCTAGGGAACATTTGGCAGTGTATGGAGATGTCACAACTGAGAAATGCTACTGGCATTTAGTGGGTAAATGCTGTTAAACACCCTACAATACCCCGGACAGCTCCCAGCAATGAAGAATTATGTGCCCCAAAATGTCACTAGTACAAGAAAGGGAAACCCTGGACAAAAATGATCTTTTTTCTTTTTTGTTTTTAATTAAACTTTTATTTTGAGATAATTGTAGATTCACATGCAGTCGGAAGAAATAATACAGAGTGATCCAGTGTACCCTTTAGCCAGTTTCTCTTGGTGGTAACATGTTGCACAACTATAGTACAACATCACAATCAGAATATTGACATTTATACAGTCAAGATCCAGAACATTTCCATCACTACAAGGATCCCTCAAATTGCCCTTTTATAGCTACCCTCACTTCTCTTGCCCACCCCTTGTTTTAATTTTTTGAGACACTTGTAATTTCTTTGTTACTACAGAAGGTACCAAATAGCAATACTATTGTGATTTTATTTCTTGGCATCCATCCCAATTATCAGGAATGTCATGAGTGGTTAAACTTGTCCTGTAGCTGGAATGTTAATTCTCCAGAGATTCTAGGTGAGACACACACAGCACACAAACATATCTATTTTAAAGCTTAAAAATGGAACTAGTGAGTTTACCACCCAATCAAAGAACTATAACTTTACCAATCTTATTGAAGCTATCTGTACTCCTCAGTCCATCTCCCTGATGCCAGCTATACTGAATTTTGCATTTGTTTTTTCTTTTTAAAATTGTATGTGCGTTTCCCTAAATAATAACATGTTTAACTTTGCTCATGTTTTGAAATTTATTAATATGGTAGTTTATTTCACATAGTCTGCTATAATTTACTTTTTTAATTCATCATTGTTTCTAAGATTCATTCATTTTGTGTTTAACTGTACTTCATTAGTTTTTCACTGGTGTATACAATCCTATTGTGTGAATATACCACAGTCTTTCAATCAGCATTTGGGTTGTTTGCATTTTTGGTGTTATGAAAAATACAACTGTGCATATGCTTGTACATGTCTCTTGGTATACTTGTCTTAAGAGAATAGTTACAGGAGTATATGCACATTTGCAGCTTTAGTAGATAATAACAAATTGTTTTCCACAGTGGTTATACCAATTTACATTCTCATGAGCACTGTCTGAATTCAAGTTACTCCATGTTCTCGCAACACTAGAACCATGAGGTTTCTTAAGTTTTGCTAATCAAATAGTGGGTTTCTGTGTGTCTGATGGGAATGGTAGTGTTAGCTTGGGAGGATAGTAGTAGTATATTGCATTGTGTATATTGTAGTCTCTGTAATAAAGCATTGAAATGAAGAGAGCAGAGCTAGAAAGAACCTTATTAATGTACATATTCTGAGAATTGCAGTTTATCTACTTAGTTGCCAGCCAATCAGATAGGGTCTTGGAGAAGATCCCTTCTTAGGCCACCAGAGAAACGCTAGATGAAAGCCTGTACGAAAGTCTGTACGACTAATGGCTTTGAAACTTTCCTGATTGTAGCCTGCCCTACCTACCTAGTCCCAAACTACAGTGGAAGAATTGGAGAGGAACAAAATAAGTTTCAGCACAGTTGTTGTAATAACATCCATGAGTTGCTTTATTTTGTAAGAAGAGCTAATCTGCAGGTAGTTTTATAACATTTATTTTGATAGTGTGTTGCAAATAACAAATAATTTAAACTGACAGGTAACTAATGAACAAAAAACTTGGGGAGGTATATATATCTGTATACACTATATATTGTGTATATATCTGTTTTAGCAAAGGAGCAGGCATGATCCATAAGATAGGCAGATTGTGGTTATGTATATTATAACTAAAAACATGGATTAAGCAGCTGTGTTATTTCACATGCTGTGCACCTTACTTTGTTGAAATCTTGTCAGCAAAAGATTGATAATTAAGAGGAAGATGTTCTCAGCGTATAAGCCAAAGGACACAAAGACGCCTTGTAGTTGATATAGCTAGGACCATAGGAAACTAGATTTGGTAAATTCTTTTACAGCTCCATTTTATATTTTGAGTTTCTATTATATACTTAAATCAATATTCTAACTCCTTAGGTCATTTTACTTTTTGGATGAATCTATGTGGTATGTTAGGGAGGAATCATGTCTAATAGCCCTAAAATTTAAATGAATGGTGACATTTTTGTCAAACAGCAGGAGAAAAAAGGGATATCATCATAACTCATTATTCACTTCCTTCTCTTTCTTTACCTAAGCCATCTCATCAAGAAAAGGGAAAAGAGCCTAGAAGTATACTCTTTAACAGTTTAGAAGTGAGATTAAATTTAAAATCTTGAGATTTGGTGAGATAATGATCTTATTACTAGGAACAATGTAGCAATTAGCTAATTTTTTACCCTTATTTTTCTAAATTTTCTAAAATCGCTCTGTTGTAAGCTCCAGTTAGACAAATAATCCTTAATTAATTAAATCAGAGTTTATTGAAGCTTATAGAAGACTATAAAGAAATATAAAACATGTACCATGTCCTTTGATGAATAGACATTTTATTGGATGCAAATATATTTACACATATCTAAAAGAAGTAAATAAATGACTTGTGACTAAGGAGTAGTAGAAATATATTAGCTCTTACGTTTAGAGATACTAAAATGGCCTGGAATAGTGGAGAACCTTTCATGAAGAAATTGGGATGTCATTAGTATGGATGAATAGAAATTACATGGGTAATATTTTAGGGTGGCCATAGTATATTACATATTTTTTCCTTCGTTATTTTTTTTTCTCCTTTCTTCCCCAGGCTGTCATACCTCTACTAGGTATACAAGGACCTTAAAAGCAAGGATAAACAGTGCAGTAAAGTCAAATGAGCAGAATGAACGGAACTAGAATAGCTAAAACAATGTTAATGAAGAAGAAGAAACTGGGAGGAATCCTTCTACCTAATATTAAGTCTTATATATAACTTCATTGACCAAGACAGTGTTGTATTAACAGAGGAATAGACAAGACAGATCGATGAAACAGAAAAGAGAACCAGAAATAGATCAACTCAATTGATTTTTGACAAAGGTGCAAAAGCAGTTCAATGGAGAAAAGATAACCTTTTCAACAAATGGTGCTAGAACAATTGGACATTATATGCAAACAAACAAACAAACAAAAAACCTTGACATAAACCTCACACCATATTAAAAAAAAAAAGTGAATGTAAAATGGATCATTGTGAAATCAGTGTAAAATAGATATAAATGTGAAATGTAAAACAAAACTTTAGAAGAAAACAACATTTTGGGGAACTAGAGCTAGGTAAACAGTTTTTAGACATGATACCAAAAATCCAATTCATAAGAGAAAAAAAATAATAATTGGACTTCATCGAAAGTGAAAAACTGCAAAAGACTTCATTAATAGATTGAAAAGATTAGCCACAAACTGGGAGAAAATATTTGCAAATAATATCTGAAAGACTTGTATCTTGAATATGTAAATAACTAAACTTGTTGGTAAGAAAACAATAAAATTAGAAAATGATCAAAAAGAGTCTATGAAGATGGTAAGTCTATAAAGATAAGCCGATGAAAAATGTTCAGCATTATTAGCCATTAAAAAATGTAAATTAAAAACATAATGAGATACTGCTACATACCTATTAGAATGGTTAAAATAAAAAATATTGATAATATGAAGTCCTGGTGAAGATGCAGAGAAACTAGATTTCTCATACTTTGTTGGTGGGAGTGTAAATATTATACAGCCACTCTGGAAGATAGGTTGGCAATTTCTTATAAAATTAAACATACATTTGCCATACGACCCAACTGATTACGCCTGAGCATTTATTCTGGAGAAATAGAAACTTATGACAAAACCTATACATGAATGTTTATAGCAACCTTTTTTGTAGTAGCCCCAAATGGAGCCAACCCAA